ATATATATATATATATATATATATATATGTCAATAATAAAGTTTTAGAAATTCCGAGTAAAGCGAGTTCTCTCTCACGATTTTATCAAAGTCGTAAATGGCGCATCACCTAGTCGTCGTCCATTACGTCTTAGCGAAATTGTCGCGAGCTCGAACATACATTATCTATAAAATTCAAACTAACGTTCCGTCATCCGTTCGATGACGTTGACCTTGTGTCTTATCAACAGAATTGTCATGAACATTAACGATTTGAATAACGTTTTGACGTGTTATTGCAGATTTCTTTTTAAGGCCCATTCGTGCGTATGACTATAATGAGCATTTTTCACTTTAAGGCTCTACTACTTTCTATCGCTTTGATAGAAAGGATCCTCCCGATATTTCCATTTCGCAATATCGTACGATACCGTTTCAGAGTAATTTCATTAGCTTCTCGGTGGGAGTGAACTGGATTTCGAGATAGGGAGACTAAATCAGGTGAGAAATCGATGAATCGGAGCTGCGGGCTCGCCCATCGTTTACAGAAGGGAAGCGGCGAGTCGTCATCAGACGCGAAGAACCGAGAACGTAGATAGCAAAGAGACGATCCGTCGAGGGGGGTGGTCGCGTTTGTGTGGGTGGCTGATGCGTTGGGCGCCGACTCGGCTCGAGTACGAGTCACTTCGTGTAGCGGCGCCGCCGAGAGAAAGAGAGGGAACCACGAAGAGCGTGAGGACAAGTGGGGGAAGAAGAGTCTGAAAGGAGACGTGAGTCCAGAGAGCGAACGAGCGAGCGAGGGGAAACGAGAAGGGTGAAGGTTTCCTCCGATGGAAAAACGTACCTAGGGGTACATAGGCGTCTACTAAAGGGGGCATCGAGGTACAAGGATACAGAATGTATAATATTATTTCAACGATCCATTAAAGCTTGTTTTTAACAATGTAAATTAACTTTTATAATCTTGATTTAATTTGTACTCTTTATCTTTTTCTAATTTTTATAACTAGAAAAAGATGAAAAGTAAAACCAAGATTGAAGTTCTATATTAGAAGTTCTATATTAGTCTATATTAGAAGAAAATTTAGATAAATGGATATAAGAAGAAAAAAGGGTAAAATATTTTTTATAAACTCTTTTTTCATATGATCTTTCACCTCGATCTGGATAAGATGTTAGTTCTTTACAAATTGTTGCTGATATTGTAGACTACAAATCGATTAGAAAAGATGATGTAGGAAGATTAACTTTTGATCATTAACTTTTGAATTTTAGAATTTTGTATTAAACGATTTTACAACAGATTCGTACGATTCTATTCTAATAATTTCTTCTGAAATACAAAATTTTAGTTTCAGAGAAAAACATTTTTTAATAAATTTCCTTCCATCTCAATTACATCATGTACCTAATTATTTCATTAGATTATTTCATTAGATACTAAATGGAAGGCACGGTTTTGTTTAAATATTTAAAAATTTAGCTATATTTTAGACAGATTTGAAAATAATTTGGATATACCATCAAAATAATGTAGAACATTCAAGCTGATTGTTAGACTGTCAAAACTTTTTGCAACATTGCGCATTATACTTCAATTTTCTACAATTTTGCAAAAGTATGTTTAAATCTATACCTAGCTAAATTTTTGAATACTTCAATAAAATCGTTCTTTTTGTTAAAACATTCTTTACATTCCTAAGCGTAGTGCATTCTTTATATTCTTAAAATATCTTTCTAATGTTGGAAAATAAATGATACTTTACCCGGAGATAAATCAAATCGAGGTGTTAGAAACCGATTCTGATATCCATCGCATCATAATTATTTTTTAAATAGCTCGATTTTCTCCCCAATTCTTTCTTTTATAAAGACATTTATCACTTGATTTAAAGTAAGTATACTTGATGCATCACTTGAAATCAAACAACTTTCGTTTGAAATATTTCTTTATATAACATATCGTTACTTAGGAGTCCTGGAACTTGCCGATTATCCTGTATATTCCTTATGAGTAATTGTAAATAAATAATTGTATGTAAAATATATCTTTGGACACGTTATTGTTTTATGCCATTCTATGAATTTAAATATATAATATCAATTTTAATCAACTAGTTGCACTTTAAAAATTAAAACTATAAATAGTTCTAAAAATATTGGAAAATCGAGCTTTTCCTTCGATAAAAAAAATTATAACGTGATGAAATAATTAGACTCAGATTCGGTATCAAAATATGTAACCATAGCCTAATTTTTGGATTAAGCATTAAATTTTTTTGTATGCCTGTGCAATTAAAAATCTGTTTCCTTACCACACGCATTGGATATAATTCTATGGCAGCTATTAATGTTTTGTATGTTGCATAGAGAATACGAAACATATGGATGTAACGTATAAATTTTGCTTGTCATGCTAAGAAATTGTTGTGAAACAATTATAATTTCAATCTCAAAATAAGGATTTGTTATTCATTAAGTTTATCTAAAAGCTCATCTAGACATTTTTTAATATCAGAATTATTGAAATAATCAAAATGATTGATGAATTTGTATGTTTTCTTTAATTACTCCAATTTTTAATTATATATTTAAAAAAATTTTCTGTAACTTTCGTAATATGTAAACGCGCGATTGATAAATTGATCAATTTACTTTTTATATGTATTGTAAAAAGTAGAAATTAATCGGTAATTTTGAATTCCAGAGAAAGAATAAAATCATCAGTAAAATTCTCATTTTTCATACAATCAAATGATGCAGGAACAAATAAATTAGGATAAAGTGATACAATTTTGAATGACTATATGATTTGAATCCAATTTTCGAATTTGGTTTCCTCCTATTTGATACCCTTACACAATGAGATCAGAATTATCAAACTTCGAAAATTAAATTCTAAGAACACAAATCATATATAAAAAATAATTTCAGTCACACGATATCAACTGATATAAAGAAAACACAGTTATTTTAAAAAAAATTATGCAATTTGCAATATGCATATTTGCAAACAATACAAATTATATATTTTTTTTACACAACAATTTAATATTATATCAGCAATGTGTAATACATTAAAAAGAAGAGAATGTTTTACATATATCGAATGAGTTATTAGCTTTTTGACAGTCAACCTCAACAAGGTCCAGTCCCGGTCTCCCTTCCTCGCATACTATTGTATCGAGAACAAAAACCCGATCTGAAAAAAGTCTCGAGAATGTATAATAAGATCCATCCCGAGAAGAGAGGTAAAAAAAAACCGTAAGATTCCGCTGTTTTCTCGTCGAAGAAATTTATTTCCATTCGAGCGCCCATGTATCCACGTAGATGTCGAACGGAACGCTCCTCTGGCGGGGCGGACCGGCGAGCGCGGGGGCGCAGGTAGAAGGGATGGGCAGTTGGTGAGTGGGGATCACCGCAGAGAATCAGGAGAGGAGCGGAGCGGAGCTGTGCCGACACTGCCGACGAGGGAGATCGCACGAGAGGGAACCGCGCGGTGAGGGAGCAAGCAGAACGGCGGACCAATCCGAGGAAGGGATGATGGGGCCTCGGCGCGAGCCGAGAGAAATTGTCAGAAGCACTACTGCGCGGTGAGTCGGCCCGTCGTGACCCATTCTCATGGATCTCGCGGTCCTCTCTTCTCGCAGTGCCGCCAGTGCCTCTTTCCCTGGTCCCCCCCACCACGCGCGCACGACGGAGAGGATCGCATCCCCCGCCCACCCTTTTCGCTCCTACCCTGGTCGCCGCGCCGCGCCGTCGCCGCCCCCGCTTCTTCCTCTCCTGAGAATCGTGAGGGCTCCTCTCGTTTCGGGATCACCGTGCGCGCCCAGAGCCCAGACCAGACGTCGACAGACTCGACCACGAGCGGTACACGCGCTCAGTGCGCTGCTGAGCGTCGAGCGGTGACGAACGGAATTGAGAAGGTGAGAAGATATCCCGGAGTACACGGCCACTTCGATCGATCGTCAACGCTGTATCTCGCTGCGCCGCTCCGTGGGTCTTTTCTTATCAGTGCGAGAGGAGCGATAGACGGGGAGTGATCGGCGGGGTGTGACGCTTTTTGCGGATCATACCTTGCACGATGCGCGACTTTGCGGGTGTCTCGGTATCGGATTTCCATTATCGGAGCGACAGCGGATAATTCGGTAACAGTGCACCGCGAAATTAGGTGTCTGGAACTCGGGATCGGAGTGTACTGCGGTGCATCTCGCACTCGCAGGTTGACGTATTCCCGAAATCGGGAGTGGACGCGGACTGGTGTTTAAAGTGCTAATTAGTTACGCGGATGTTGGAGTTCGTATATCCCACGACGGTGTGATCTCTCGGCTGTCGACCGAAACGTCGCTTGCCGTCTCGCGGACTCCGGCTCAGCATCATGGACTATTCGAAGAAAGGTATGTTCGCCGAAGTCGAGAGGACCTTGAATTGGATATGACACTCCGATAAATATCTTCTTTGATTTCGCATCTGTAGTCGTGCTTACCATTCTGTCTACGTATTGCGTCATCACCATATAATTTAACTTTTTGGGTGAAGATATCGTGTAGTTTACGCGCTGAGAATTGATCAAAAGATTCATCACGTTTTTTTTTTTTTTTTTTTTTTTTAATAAGCTTTTCTTCTCGATATCTCGAAAAGTAACGTATCGCTTTTTATGCGCATCCAAGGAATACATAAAAATCAAAGTGATTTTATTTTGATTCTTAACGTCAATAAACAGTCAAATTAATCAAAAATGTAATATTATTTGATGTGATGTCAAAATGAAATCATTTTTACGCTCTCTTGACTTCGTGTGTTTCTTAAGATGCGTCGTAGAAATTTTCGCAGATACACGGTTGATTTCCTTTTTTTTTTAAGATAAGCTTTTCTCATCGACATTCCACTTTGTCTGAAACGTGTTATTCTTTATATTTACACGTGTACCCCATCTGCATATTATCGTCACGAGAAATTTTATAATAGCAGATGCAAAGTTGCGTCTCACACCTGTTCTTCTCGTGGCTGGTCTTGAGAACGAGTTGTGAGTTAAGAGATTCCGCGAACGAAGCGTTACGATAACGAGATTGTATCAGGCAAAAAGTTAATACCAGATTATATCAATTTTATTGATGACGCAAAGTAAAGTATCGCATGAACGATTCCAATCGCATTCGTGGCTTCGATCTTTGTAGCAAACTCGCGTTTGTTTAATTTCATCACCTTCATCCTGTTCCCACCGAAGATGTCAGATATGACATCTTAGCTATGTTCCTTTCAGCCGTTGAAAACAAAAAGAGAAAAGATAATCAATTAAAAAGAAGAAGCTTTTTGTTACAAAATAAATCAATTTATCTTAAATATATCTCTTCTTTGATTTGAGCTTTTTGAATTTATCTCGGGCTTGAGAGAAATATCGAAAGTGCAAAATCCAAAGATTATTTATCAGTACTAAGAAACCGTTCGAAACTGAAAAAAGGGGGAAGGAGCATAAAATATATAAATATTCTCTGTGCTTCTCTGTGCTTCTCTGTGCAAATTAACTGATATTCAGTCATTCCCTTTTTCCACGAATGATTTATCGATCGATCGTCACAAGCGGCATGTCTCCTCGATGCTCTCGGTGATAATGGCAGAAGGGGGTAAATGTCAGAGGTTATAGTGGATCTACATGTTGCAATGGGTGACGTGTCGAAATTACAATCGAGTGTTGGTAGGACCAGTGAATGATAGTCCGAATTCTAAGAAGATAAGGACTCTTTTACGCTTCTTTCTTATCTATGTGTACATACGGTGTCAAGATGTTCTCGTAAAGGTTCAAGCGATCCTCAACTCTGCCTCCCTAATATTGTCACAAACGCAGATAAAAATTCTCACGGTGATTAATAAATAAAATTCTTAGAGATATAAAACATACCTTGAAATATAACAATTTCAAATATAAAAATTTAAACGCACGCTTTTGCTGGAATAATGAAGATACACACAATGCGATATTTTTCTAATTTAATTTAAAGATTTATAATATTTTTTCCGATATTTTTTTTAAATTCTAATTGAGAAATGAATGTTACAATTATAATAACAAAAATATCGTGAAATTATAGAATGTTAGAAATCGTGATTTTTTTTACGTTAAAATTAGAAAATAATTAGAATTTTAGTATAACTTTTTGAACAGTATTACATAAATCGCTTTAGAAAATTTAACTGATTATAATATGTTAGATTTTATCTCAAAGCAGTTAATAATGTCAACCGTGTTACTTATCTGCCATTAATAATTTATTGCCATTAAAATTGCTCGAATTCTCTAATTTATAAATCGAAATCAAATCGATATCGATTGATTTTTTAGAAAAGTTTGATTTGATATCGACTACATTTTCTATTAATTTTCGAAGAAGATTGTTGACATTTTATCAATGTTGCATCGATAAAATGTCGATCTTCTTTCGAAGATTAATAGAAAATCTAGTATAGATATCAAATCAAATGATTCTAAAAATCAATTACTTTAACTCGACTTGTGAATCCGGATAAATTTATAAAGATCTTATTTTTTCGTATTTCTTTTTAATTATATATATATATATATATTCTTTATATTGAATATCTTTGATAAAACATATATTTCGTAATTTCCAAGTTAAATATTTTGGACCGTATTACACGTACGGATAAATATTATCCAGAAAAAAAAGATTCATTCTTTCTGACACAGCACAAGGATTATACGAGCATGAAGTCTGGATTAGGGTGTGGTGCGGAAAGTCAACCGCTCCCTTTTTCACCCCAGCAAAGGGGAGCCCTTCGGTAGTGAGATAGATTAATTAGCGATGTTTATATTTGACAAGAAAGTGCATGCGTTTATTAACTCCCGGAAAGTTCTTTTTCCGTAATAAATTGAAAGTTGCAGTGAACGAATATCTCGACGTATACATAAATCAAGCTTATCGAAATAAAACACATCATATCTTCCTCAAATCATTCGATAAAAATATAATTGTTACGCTAGTAAAAAAATTGTAATCCGTTTGAGATGAATGATTTAATTATATATCCTTCCGCTTAATTTTCCTTAATTTGTATTAAATATTAATGTGTATTACATCTTGCACATTTTTAGATAGTCTTTAACATTTTTTTTTATAATAATAAACGATTCATTATTTATTTTTTTTTATGTTGGATATTAATTTAGAAAATAATTGTTTTACTATGATAATCTTAATTTATGATGCTAGTAAAATTATATCGTTATTTATCAAAAAATACTTTGAAATGATGATGGTGAGAAAAATTAATTCTTGGTTTTACACGTTGCAGATGAACTGATTTAATTAACAGATATAGATTCTTGCTTTGTGCAAGAAATAAGGCTTTATATGCCGTAAAAATGGAGCAGTTGTGGATCCTTCTTGGAAGCGCCACAAACTAGGACTATGCAATTTATCATATTCGATGGAAATAGTGAGAAGCTTTCTTATAGACTAAGTAGAAAAAGTTTGATCGCGTTATGCTCCAATTTTCGTTTTTAAAAATTGATCGAAAAACGAGTGATAAATGAATGACTAAAACTAATTATTATTAAAAATTAAGAGATTCGAGATTAAATAATTTTACGTGTAACAAATGCTATTAATATTTTGATTATTTCGTTTATGTAATATTGATATAATTTAAAAATTACATCAGTATTGCGATCATAAATGAAATCATAAAACTGTGAATATTAAAATTTATATAATAAAATTAATGAAATTAATAATGTATAATAATAATAATAATAATAATGATATTTTATGAATGGATTGTAAATTCATGCGTAAAATATCTTTATTTTTTTAAATTAACAGCTCAATATTGTATTCAAATAAGAATTATTATTATTTTTGCAATACTGTCTAATTTACATCGAGCATTGATGAACCCAATGGTCCATCTCTTGCTCGAAATCCTTTGCCTCCAAAGTAAGTAAGCTATGTTTTAGCGAAAAACTCAACGCGGATGATGATCGATCTCCATTTGCGGTTAAAGATTAGACGTCCACCACACCTATCATCGCTTTCCTATTCCCTACCTCCCAAGGCGTCATAAAGTCGGTCTAGGATTTGCATAGGTCTTATTACAGTAGCAATCTATAGATGTGGCGTGGCGGTAGGTAGGTAGGTATGACAACCGCGTCGAGGTACATGCGGAAACACTCGGTTGGGCCACGTATACGAGGGTACTTTGCGTGACATCCTTCGCGGCACCTCAAACCGTTCACCCTCGGTCGATTGTGAAATTAATGACCCGTGGTAGTAAATTTTTCGGCGGAGGATGTTTCGTTTTCTCTATTGTATATCAATATGCCTATTGTTCGTCGTTGTATCGTTTCTCTGGATTATCTAAAACCGAAAATGAAAATAAAAAATGTTCTTTATTTTATTTAATTATGTACATTGATATAAAATATGTTTTTAATTTTTGTTTTTAAATTTTTCGTAAGATTAAATTATTTTACTGATATTTTAGTATCTTAAAACAGAAATTTAGAAATATCAACAAGATTAATAACTGATATCATATAAATATGTAAAAATTATATCAGTATTATAATCATAATAAAGTTTTACACTAAAAAATATATGTAGATTTAACATGATATTATGACGAATTTTCAACGAAACTCTCTTTCGCATTCAATTTTTGATATTTGCAAATTGTGGAAAGTTTCTGTAATTGATTTTATTTTAACTTAATCTTGGCTTTTTTGAAAAGATTTAACAGTTAAAATCATGTGAACTTTAAGCTTTATTCTTCAAGTCTTTTAGAATCATTAGGCTGTGTGTAAATCGTGATACTGCAAATTTTTATTCAATTTATAATTTTTGAAGAAAGATTTGAATAGATCATTATATAATTTACGGCCTAATGATTTTAATAGATTCAAATTTAAAAAATGGATTAAATCTATTCTTGAATTCATAAATAATGGCAGTATAATTTGAATCATGATTTATGTGGTCTAATGATTCCAAAAAATTCGAATTTAAGAAAACTCGAAGTTTAAATTTTTTTAACTGTTAAATCTTTCTAAGAATCGCTTAAAGTTAAAACAAATTATAGAAGTTGCACTATTCGCGAATATCAGAATAAATTTAATTTTACAATAATAGCTTCGTTAAAAATATTATTTGTAACCCAGTGCGATTTGAAAATCTTGCTGTTTTTAAGATTAATTCTTTTTATTTTCACAAATTTACAATGTGCGTCAATGCAAAAATGAAAGAAAGATAATATGCCTACTAACCAGTTAATTTTATTTCAAATATTTCCTTGACTTATCAAAAAACCTAATTTGTTTTATAATTAGTTATAATTATATCAAATTTATTTATTTCT